CGAAGTAGCACAAGTAGACGAAGGTAAACATATTACCCGTTATAATTCCCATATTTCTCGTGTTCTACCCCGTATTGTTTGCTGTCAAGCCGTGAGCAACTCGGCTGAGTCAGACGGAGGTCGCTTCATTGCACATTGATTTTCCCCATCGGCTTGTGTTCACTGCAGAGGCTTACTTGACAGTCAAGTTGGCCCGTAACGGAAAAATTTCAGCTAAGACAAGTTTAGTCGAAATGGACCCTGAGACAGTCACCGCCTTGGGGGAAACAGTAAAAGGCAGCGACGGAACAACTCAAGAATCGTGTGCAGCATTGATAACAGAAGAGCTTGTGAGCGCATACACATAAAGGGCCTTTTGGCATGATGTTACGACGGCTACTGCTGTGTCAGCATCAGCTGTAGGTCTGAACTCTAAGCACCGTTGGCAGGCCCGACAGAAATTTTGTTCAAATGGTTACCTGGGAGAGACCAAACATAAGAATGCTGTATCGTCGTTGCCCTCACCTTTTGGCTGTACAGAAAAAGATCTTTCATAAATCTTTCGATTCTACGACGACAGCAGACTACCCTAAACTGGTGCAGGAGGCCCTCCAAACCGGACTGGCAGAATTCAGGTATGGAAACGCGATATGCCTCTTCGTTACAGGCAGCTTCCATCTGCTTTCTGAGCAAATCAAAGAGACAGCACTGATACGTAGCATGTATTTCATGCTGTCTTCACCACTTTCTCCCCATCCAATACATTACAATTGCGTTAAGCTGCACTGATTGTTAATACTTCTTCAGCAACACATATCCGGAAAACCAAGAAGCGTGGGAACCGATATGGAAGAAGGATGCGGCTGTCAGCGTGATGCACCTTCTCGGAGAAAGCAGCACTAAAGTCGGCTGTGTCATTGCAAAGTGTGTCAAAGCACCTGGAGCGGGTGTGCTCGCCAAGGCAGAGCCAGAAGAGCCAAAACTGGCTGTGCTTTTCTGTCAATTAAGTCCTGCAGCAAAAGAGAACGCGGCCGCCTTTAGGTAAGTTTGAATTTTCCGATTTGAACTTAGATGCTTCTTACATAAGGATTTAGACGTGAACAGCTACAGCAACTGGACATGTATTCCTTGATTCTGCCTGTTTGTTCATCCTCCTTGCAGCGAAGAGTACTTCAAGGAAATTATTGCACGAAAAACTGAAATAAAAGATATGACGGAAGAAGACCTGAAGGATCCTATTGTAACAAGCTCTGCAGACGCTGTCGTTCCCAGCATTCTAACTGCCGGTTTGGTCGCCATCCTGGCAGCTATATCTGCCTAGGCAGGCAGATTTCCGCCGCTAGGTAGCTACCTAGCTAGCTAGCTACCTAGTTATTCCGCTTATCCGTCCGCCCGTATGCGCAGCGAATAGCTCTCGAAACCGCCGTTGCTTGCCTCAGTATGCGAAGGTTCACTTGCTGCGTGATTAGCCTAACTGTAGTTGCTGCTCCGAGCAACATGCTCGATAGAGCATTGAGGTGAAAAGCAGCGAATCTATGAAGAAATATCAGAGTGTAAACCTTACATTCTGAGGCCTTTCCACCTCGCATGGCGGTTGCGGTTTTCTTCGGACTTGCCACTATGATCCTACTCTTGTTTGTCTGTGAATATCATTATTTATCCGTGTACATCTCTGCTAGGCAGACGAACGGTATGTTGGTGCAGAAAGCTGCACTAGATACTGAAGCAAAGAAATTCATATCAAAAGAATTGACTTGATATCTGAAATCACTTAATGTCTACAGAATCTCAGAAGCCATAGAACAGAAACACCACGAAAACGAAAATTAAGAATATGAAAAACTACATAGCCATTTGTGATTTGTCGTTAGTGGAGCGTTAGTACCCCCGAAAATTAATGTAATTGTATGCATATTAATTTGTTTATTTGAATATGCAGCACAACGCCACCAGCCTTCCTTGTTTTTCAGTCGAAAACAAGCACAACACAGCCACAGAAGAGATGCGCAGCCAGAGAGGCACAGTGAATACAATAGGATAGACAAACAATGATGTAGTAACAGTTTACAGAGATGCGAAAACAAACAGATCAAAGCAAACATATATAGCCAGACAAATGCACGGTTTTCATAGGGTTACTTGCCCCCATAGAAATAGATATTGCAAACGTAAGCGCAGTCGGCGGATAACTTTATACGGTTTGTGCTGCTTCTTGAAAGATCATATAGATCAAATTCCAGCAGTACTGCTTTCCATAACACTCGTCGACGTAACTGATTTACATTAACTTCTTCAGTTTTTCCCCAGCAGGATTGCTTGCAGGGGCAGTAGTGCCAGCTTGTGTGAAAACAGCTGAAGCTACAGCAATGGGAACATGCAAATGCTATATATATGTGCTGTCCTACTGGACACATATATATATATATATATATATATATATATATATATATATATATATATATATATATATATATAT